AATTCACTATTATTTTCTTAATTAAAACAAATATTCGTTTCAATTATTAATCTCTTTGAGATAATTTGCTATTTGATATTACGATAAATCCGTGGAAACAGGATCATACAATAAAAGATAATTTTATTTGGACGATGATAAATTATATAATCAATATTTGTGATGAATTGTTAATTATTTTTATCATGGATCTATAAACTTTTCTATTTGCTTTATTAGTTTATTCTACGATTTTCCAATCCCTACTTAAAATAGATTTTTAGTAAATTAAGTAGCTCGAAGCTTGGGATGTTTGCAGATAAATCCTTTACCCGAATCTTAATTAATAATTGAGCTTAAATATAAAATTATCCATCGTTTTAATTATTTTTCAAATAAAATAATTCGTCTTTCTGTTGTGTAAAAATCTGTTTTATTAAATATTTATTCGTTGCACATGTTTTTTTATTTAATAAATTTATGTTTAACGAACTTATCATATCAATTTTATTAAATATCTACTAGTTCGTTAGATATTATTAAATTTATTTCGTTTCTTTTTTATGTAAATCATAATTTTATATAAAATTTTAATTTAAATTTATTTAATAAATGCCTTTTATTGTTTATTTTCTTCATCCCTTTCAACATATTTGGATAAATGTAACCACTATAAACACGAAGCTGTTTTACTGTTTATAATAAAATAAAAATGTTTACGAGAGATATTTTAAGGTAGAAAATACAATTCAGATTCTATAAAACGTCAATTCTTATGATACTGCTTTATATTTTATTATTTATAACTTAAGAAATGGCTACGATCTTAAACTTCCATGTTAAGTCGGCTTCTCCTTCTAACAAACGGCATTTGCGGAGAAGTATGATTTGCAGGAGTCAGAAGAACAAGGATGCTTGCTTGCTTCTATGAAAGAGATAAGACGGAAAAAGTGTATTATTTGAATGTTTTCCAGGACTAGAAATGTAATGGTCTCCTGTTTTGTTTGGTAGAAACTAATCGACTTTGATTATTTCACTCAACTTTTGTAGAATGACGTTGAAAGGAGCGTCAATTAAGACGATAAAATGGAAGAGAAGAAAAGAAGACGATCTTTAAATTCCACGTAAAAGAAGAAAGACTATTAACGAAATGTCGGTGAATAAAACCGCCAAATTAAAATATAGGTAAAAAGGTAATTATAAAAAACGAAGTCGGTGATTATAATTTAATTACAATTATAACTAAATTATAATTTAATTTTAATTTAAATCGTTCCCATCCCAGAAAAGAAATATCACGCTCGTTTTAACAAATTACCTCTTATTGGCCTTATATTTTCATTAAATTCTCTCAATAATTACTTTAATTGCTAACATATATTGCGTGTCTAGACCACGGATATTACCTTTTACAACTATCTTTAAATTTATTAAACTTAATTCGATTGAAAAATATATTTAAATCAATATATATATATATACACACACACACAACTCTTCTGTTTAATATAACTTTAGTATACGAGTAGATGATAAATGGAGTATTCAAAAGTTAAAGATTTTATCCATAATTAGAAACGCATACTTATACAAAATAAAGTAGCATCTGTATAATCGCATTTAAGCTTTAAAATTTTCAATAGATATCAAAGGAAAGATTAAAGATAACGAGGAAAAGAGAAGAATTAGTAAATATGAAACTAATTATTATTCATTTCATCCTCATCTTTTACAAGAAGGATGCAAATCTTGTAGAAAATAAATCGTTTTAAATTTATTAATTAAAGATCTTAAGATAAGAACTTGTTAACTCATATATATATATATATATTTTTAATTATTATAAACGTAGGGCAGATACAATTTCAACACTCACGATCCATAACTTTTCATATACTGGCCTATCAACCTGTAATATCACAAATCACATGCGATCTGTTCTAAAACACAGAGAAAATTCGGAACTTCATAGTAATTTTTCTGAAAAAATTAAAAAAATATAAGTTAAATCGTTCTTGCCCAAATGTTTTCCTTCGATTTTTATAAATAAAAAATAATATAATTTGGAAAAACGATACTGATTAATCAGAAAATCCAAACTCTAAAGATCTATCGTAAAGAGATTAAATATAAATTTCATAGGAAATCGAGGAAAGTAAAAATCAAGTGAATGTTTCGATTTTTAAGTTTTCCTTTATAAAATTTTACAAACAACATCTAAAATATTAATAATTGCTAAAATGCAATTTATATACTGCATTATAAGATGTTATCATTCTTCTTAATATATCAGACAATAAAGAAAAATGACCGAAAATAGAAAGATATAGAATTTCTCATCTTTTCCAAGACAACGAATAAGATGATGAATATGTTTTGTTATGAAATTTTCTATCGACAAACGTCACACACGTTATTGTAAACCGAGTAATTCTCGTATTACTACTCGTTTGCATCATAATATTTTCTTTTTAATTCATATTTACTTATTAGAGGAAATAAACGATGAAAATATGTTGGAAACTACGTTATTTTAACAATATACGAGACGATATTTCAGGATGAAAAAGGGCAATAGTTGTTTAAGGAATTCAACATCTTCCTCCTCCTCCTCTTCCTTTTTTCTTCTGTGATTTGTTTAAAGTTATAGCAAGTCGATGATTTATAATTCGATAAATAATTTTATATTTATTAAGAAATCGGTTGGAAAAATTCTACTGTTTTATATTAAAATCATTCGACAATATTGGAGTAAAGTATTCGTGTTAAATATATTTTAAAGGTTAAAAATGTCATATTTAAATGTATTTTCTTGTAAGACGATAAGATATTTTTGAACATAACTATTCTTATAATTATTTATTGGCTCTAAATCATCCTTATTAAAATTTTCTCACACACATTCATCAAGTGTACAAGATGATAAATTATTTAACCGAGACTACACATCACGTCAGCTTCTTTCCGGAGATATTCAACATTCCTAATAAAGCTTAAAAATTCTTTGGCTAAATAATTTAAATTTATCATAAGAATAAGAAAAATTTAAATTTAATTCTCTTTGGAATAATTTAATTGATATTATAACTTAACGAAAAGTAAAATTGAAGTGCCGCATCCCGATTCAACTCTATCTTATCCCAAATGATCTTCATTATCTTATGGTTAAAAGGTGAATATGCTTATCATATTTTTATAATAAATTTGATCGAATTTTTAAAATGTATAAATGAAAACTACAGATAGATTTTCGTTTTATTTTACATTTGATTAATTTTTCTGTTTAAAAGTAAAGAGAACATCAAAGAGACTTCATTCATCTTCAGCATCTTCGCAGCATCTTCCTCATTATAATATGATTCTTCTAGCTTAAAAATTAGAAAAAAATATCTATTTTGGATCGATAATATGATTAAAATTTGGATTATTTATAGGTTTTTATATAGTTATTCGAAGCCTCCGGTTCCACAGCATCCCAAATCTGCTCTCGATTATCACTTATCTAACTCCTTTCTCGGTATTTACGAAGGACAGCCGAACGGACAGCTGAATAATATAAATTCAAGATGTCGTCTCAATTCTAAACTTGCTATTTAATCTTTAAAGAATTATTTTTATTTATTTTAAACTTTTAATGCTTTTGTACGCTTTTATGGCGGTCATATAAAAGTTTGACAGTAAAATAATTCTTACGTCTTTAATTACACGATTAATTCTGTACGTTTATATCCATTAATATCTATTTATTGTTAATAATAATAAATAAATAATGATTTAAATTACATTTTTTATTAATATTTAAAAAATTAATTTCCTTTAATTTCTTATTTCTTTTACGAAATTAAAATATAATCTCTCTCTTCTCCTCATCCTCTGCATCTCTGAGAATATTATTTCTCTTCTAATTATCCGAGTAAATTCTAGAATATCCATTCTTCTTGTACGCGTGACACTATCAAGGGTCATAATAATCTTGCTTGGAACCAATTTTAAAGATCCAGAGGGGTAGAAGGAAGCGCGCGAGGCACGAACGTAGAGTAGATGAGAAAGTTTAGGAGCCATCACTCACTTTGGGTGGGTTCGTAGAGCCTCTAGCTGTTAATTATCCGAGATTTTCACTAAGTTTCCTCCCCCTGACGTGCGAATTTAGCGTGATACCGGGGTCGAAACGGTCGCACGAGGGGGGTAGAAGCGGCGCAAACGAAGAAAAATGGCGTCGTTAGCTCGAACTCGCATCGGATGGAGGAAAGGGTCGACACCTCTCCACGTAATTTCTCGAGACGACGCGAGGGAGGATGTCGCGGCGACGAAGCGCATATAAAGCGCCAACATTTCCTCTTGGCCCCTACCAATTTGCAAATTTTTTCTTATAAGAATTTAAGACAAAATTACGTGCGACACCTCTCTCTCTCTCCTCGGCCGCCGCAGCGCGTCGCGACTTCGCTTCCGTCTAACAACGGGATCTTCCGTAGCGCTAGAGCTCGGATGCGACGCGACGCCGCGCTATCCGCATTACTTTCCGTATCAAGTCCGCCCACGCCAAACTTAACGAAAGGAAACTGTACGGTCGAATAGTCGAGTTACGTCCGTACACATTCTTCCATACGAGTCTTCTTGTATTTTTCTACGTATTTGACAGGAGCAGGAAGATTTATCCTTCGCTCGGTGACGAGGGGGGACTTCTCACGCGAGATGGAGTAAAGCGAGAGGAGTAACGGACTTGTCATAAAGGAAAGAGAAAGAAAAAATCCGCGGATGCAATCCTCCTCCGCGCCGATCGGCGCGGAGAAGTAGATCATCCAGGCAGGAAGAAGAGGAGGGGGAGGATAGAGACTCCATCCGTTTTGTCCCGAGCTTCTTCACCCGGAGGTCGGAGAGGCGCGAGACGGATGGAAAAGAGAGAAATTCCGGAAAAGAAAGTGTAAAAATCCGGAGACGGTCCGGAAAAACGGAACCGGCCGCCCCGCGCCGCGCCGGGCGCATGCGCCGGGGCATAGCGTCAGACGGTGTTGCGGCAAGGATCGCCGTTGCCACGGGGACATGGGAGTGACGGACAGAAGCGGTTAGTGGAAGCCTCGGAACTGCCGGCCGCACTCCCGTTCCGTCTTTCGTTCGGTGCGCAACTACGGGGCGTCATGCCGCAGACCTACCGGATATGGCAATAGTAGCGAGGTGTGGGGTACTCGTCGTCGGTGGCCCAGCACTATGGAAAACAGTCTAGTGGGAGGCATTCATCTCACCCATCTGTTCGTCTCCATCATTCTCTTCTGTCTTCCTCACGGTAAGTGTTTGCCTCATCGATTTTCCCCCATCCTATCGAATTAAGGCGATTAACGGCCCGTCGGAGACGCGGATTTTCTGACTTGGAGTTTCTACACTCGCGGTCCTGACCCTCTTCCCACCTCTCTCGGTTTCGTCCCGCACAATCGAAACTCCACCTATCTCCCTTCCGTTCTGTTGTTTCTTAACCACATTTTCCTCGTGCCTCTTCCCGGGAAAAAAAGAAAACGTCCTCCCCCCCTCTCTCTCTCTTTCTCTCCGTTCCCGCATCCCTCTAGTCCGAGTTATATCGCCGTTCTTCCTCTGTGATTTTTCCAAAAATTGCAAGTCGGATGCTCTTCATCCTCCCGGATTCTCGTCCCGGAGAAGTGGATCAAAACTCTCCATCCTAACGGGAGGTCATACTCGAAACGTAAAAGTTCGTCGCCCGATAGTTCTCGTCGGTCTTTCGTGATTGCGCGTGAGTATTCGAGAAGTGGTGCGGAAGGGAAATATCCTCCGGGAGGAGCGTTTTTTCCCCCCCTCCCATCCTTTTCTACTGATTTTTCCGTTAGATGTAAAGCGAGACTACCGAATTATGGATCGACCGGATATCCGTCTCGGAATCCACCGCGGCGTCGGCTTCCGAACGGGTTCGTGTACTCGGGCCCGGAGTAACAATTAGGTGGCTTTCAAAATGGCGACCGTAATCGGCTCGATCTTTCGATCGGACGACGTCGAGCCGCTCGGGATCGATGCAGGAAGAAGGTATCCGCGGGCAAATTCCAACCGGAAGATTAGCCCGAGTAGGGTTTCCGTATTTTGGTTCGATCTCCCTCCCCCTCGTGGAGTGCACGGGGCGAAACGAGGTGCAGAAACACCTGATCATCCCTTCACAGTTAGCTGGGTTATCATTCTCTTTCCGATTGGAAAATGATGGAGATGAGATCGTTTGAAAGCTTAACGCTAGAATTGAGATATTTTCTTTATTCTTGCTCTCGGAAAAGATGAGGATGAGCAAGAAAAGAAATCAGGATGCAACAGATGGAAAACTCTAATTTTTTTCCTCCGTCCAAATCTTGGGATGCTGGGAAACGATTTTGATCACTTCTTTCGTTAAATCCCGTAAGGAATTCGGCTATGGCTTCATTTTCCTACCGTTTTTGACATTAATTATAAAATATTCTTTTTATTTTTTAACGTTATTTTTGTCACTTATCCCGTATTCCACGCTACCACATCGTTGTAAACAATTAAACATTTATCAGTTCGTAAGAGGTAAAAAAAAAGGAAATCAATCTTCACCGGTTTCCCATCCTCCATATTAACAGGTTTGCGTGGAGTGAGCGAATGATGAAAGATCTCTTATGAATTAGGAAAGAAGCGATGGGGATGAGGAAACGAGAAAGAAGAGTTGATTGACGGAAATTTGGAGATAGAAGAAAGAAAATAGAGCTAGAAAATTTGGCGTAGCGCGAGTCGCAAATCATGGAGTTACTTTAAAATAGGAGCGCGTAACCTCTTCCCTATATCTTAGATAATGTTCGGATTGTGACGTTGAGATCCGAATTCCGGTTCCAACCAGAATATCTGTATCCTCCTCCTCCTCCTCCTTTTCCACCCACCATTCTAGTTATTGCTGTTACGCTTATTGTTAAAACTACTACCGATCGATGAACCTCCTTCGATTTGTAAGCCAAGCGTCGAGAGTTCACTTATGGTAACCGTTACCTGCGTAACCTAAATTAATAATAATAGCTCGCGAATGGCAATAGTTACGGTTACAATTGACTACTCGCATCAATAAGCTATTACTATTAAAGTAATAGTTGTCCGATCAGTTGTCTTCTTCTTCTTCTTCTTCTTCTTCTTTGTAAATTTGATGGATTTTCGTGGAAAATTCTCATTAAATCGAGCCATATTCTTCCCGTTTATAACGTTACGGCGTCAACGTAACGCGGAACCGAGTAGGAAGGGGTTGAAAAATCTTCGTATACACAGCTATGTGGTTGGCGTAGTAACGTTCTCTTATGTTTCCCGTTACGTTTACAACACAAATGACGTATTTTAGTTATTTATTAAGTCTTTATACGTTACATTACGCTAAGGAATCCTTCCATTTGGGGCGTAACGACGAAGGAAAGAGAGGAGCATTACACTAATGACGTCGATCGTCCGGTTAACGTCCTCCCGGGAACGTTGGTAATAACGGAAGTTATTACGCCATCCCATAGTTAATAAAAAAAAGATTTTCATATTACGTCCAACGTAACTGGTTAAAGGATCATTTTCTCATCCACAGTGCGGTTGTTCCACACAATTGTTACGTAGATAAACCGAATGCTTTCGTTGTATCCTCCTAACTGACGAAACGTAACTGTAATGCTACTACTACGTTACGGGGTTTTGATCGAGTGACGAAGGGAGATAAGAACCGCGGTTTAGCGCGCGCTGCGATTAGAAGCTCGTAGGTGACCCGATGCAAGGAATAGTTCGGGGGCGACACGATGACGTGGAGTAAGGGACGGGTGGAGGCAATTAAATAGCGATTAGTCGTCGGGGCCGCGGAGCGTGACGATAAACTTGGCGACAAAGTAAACTGCCAACAGAGGTTAATTGAGAAGCGCCCTAACCTTAATTAACTCGGTTTTTCTCCAAAGAAAAAGCCGATACGGTACTCTGTCTGCTCGTGCGATAATCGAAGTTTCTGTCTCTCCCTCCCCACCCCCCGTTCCGAATCGGGACGACAAGACGACATTTCTCACTAATTACCAAAGATGGTCCTCAGATTAACCCTTTCCCCCCCCCTTCCACGTCACATCCTATCAAATTCAGTACTCCGGGTGCCAACCAAAGACGTCGGAAAAGTTTAGTTTTCAAAGTGGGATGCTGCGGTGATGAAGTCGGAATTACGAAAGAAGGTGACGTGACATCCGGTTACGTCACACCATATGACGTGGCGATTATCCGTTCTGTCGATTCACGAGAAACGGAAGAGGGAGATTGGTACATTTGGTATTGTCCTAGTCACGCGCCAGATTTGCATAAAGGGCGGGAAGTTCCGTCCTCCGCTCGGATGGACGATTCTAATTAATCCAATTTATGGCAAATTTACGAACGTTAATCGTTCGGCCCCCGGCCAACTTCGGTTTGAATCGCCGTTAATCGCTGGAAATTTACCCGTTTGCTTCAATAATTGGAAATGTTTGAGTGCCGGAGGCGCCGATGTCTCCCTCCGTTCCCCCCTCTACACGGTCACGTGCTTCGCTGACGAATGAATCGAGACACGAGAAACGTTCCTCACCCCTCGTTAGAGTGAGCAGTTAGAAAGTTTACTTTTCGCTCTCTCTGTCACTTTTATCCGGGAGAAAGGATGCTCGAGAGCTCGAGAATTTAAAGTTTAGAGATTAAAATGGGTAGAAAGAAGAAGTTTTTCTTCATATTTCTAATCTAAACTCAATTTAATGATCAGAAAATAAAAAGAAAACTCTCCTCCCTTTCTCACTGCCTCTTACGATCTTCTCTTTATCATCCCGCTCCTCCTGGAAACTAGTTGGATTGAAGTACCGAGGGAATGCCTCCCGGTAGAAAACTGACCCCTAATTTAGTTTTATACACTCTTCACGTGTGAGGTCCGAACCCGCGACTCGTTTTATCCATTGCATATTTCTCTCCAGCATCTTTAAAAACTAGGATTTTGATTCATTTTCCTTGATATATAATCCGTTTGGGATTGCACTAAATCGAGTATTTCTCGTATTTAACGCCGGATTTAAGTGGATGTACTAAACTAGACAAGTTTTCTGATAGGTTAGGATATTAATTTACAAATTTATAATTAAGTCAACGGAAGGATAGGAAGAAGATGAAGCTCATAAGTTAGAAGCGAAGGAGCAACAGCTCGAGCATTCTCCGCGAAGAGAAGTATCGATCCAGGGGTAAGAGAGTTGTAAGAAGCTAACTCGAAACAATTTATCGATTAGGAAAAGACGCTTTACCGATTCAGATGTTCGAGACAAAAACTTGATTGATCGAGATAAAGTTTCTCGAACCGGATCTACGGTACCTGCTCCGTTTCAAAGTACAAATAATTACATCCGACACTTTGAAAAACTTTACAGAAATATAAATCTTACAGACGTGAAGGTAATAGAAAGAAACCCTTTACAACCCTATAAGTCAATTTAAATCTTGTAAATAATTAAGGAGATAAAAGATAAACCTGAGCATTCTGATGATAAACGAGATTTACATCATCTTCTCTAAGATTTTGGCATCATTTTATTCACTTATTCTGATTTAATCACGTTTGTGTCGACGTTCTCTCGAATTTTCTTGCACCTGGAGTAATTTATCATGTTTTATAGGACTTGCGGCGCCAATCTCGATAGATATTCGGTACTTGGCGCCACTTAATTGAAGCGAAATTTTCCTGAATCATCAGCTGATCCCTGTTATCACCTCTGTAATAATGTTTGCAGGTGTTCGTTGTATCTAGCACGATTCTTATTGTTCTAAGGTATTGTTTTTCTTTGTATACATCCCCGGGTTTCGTCAACAATCCGCTTTTCTTCTAACCAAACGGAGGCACGTACATCGACTTAAGCGCCTTCTTTACTTGCTGCAGCATCCTCGCTTCTTCGAAATCCCCTTACACAAAGAAGAGCATCTCTCCGGGCAAATAAACTTCAGAATATATTTTCCATATAACCTAACATTACAGAATTTATTTCAAATACTATTATAATATACGGCGACGTTCGATATGCAATATTCCAGCCGTCATTTTCTTGTAAAATGCTTACAATTTCTTTGATCCCGCTCTTCTTTCTCTTAAGAGAGATGGAGATTATGAATTTACGTTAAAATATATTAAAAAATTAATTAAATTTTACACAATTTTTAATGTTTACACGTCGGGATGAGGACGAGGGATGCTGTGGATGAAAGTTTTGGAATAACTTTCCTCTAGTATTAGAGACGTAACAATTGTTGCATCACTTGAAAACTCTTACCGAGTAA